GGCTAAGGGAAGATATATATACGTGAAATTAAATGTGTTTGGCGAGCTCGCACTTTTGCTTTGCCTATGCTATAGCTGCCTTTGTGTCTAAGAAACGCTCGAGCTCTCACTTCTATTTAATTTATTGAATTACTATTGATTATGGTTATGGAAAATTGTTTGGCGACACTATGTTTCTTTGGCGACAACAATGGAAAACACACTAGTATTCATTTTTCTGTCTTTAAAGATGAACGATAAGCAAAATGGATAAAGTCATATTTCGGCAACTAGGGACAAAAAAAAAAGTTTTACATTAATGGGTAGATATATAATCCGGTCTATCCCAATTGTTTTCGAATATTTTCGACTCTTTCTAAGAAATACTAAGAAAAAAAAAGAGTAAAAAATATTCATATGTTTTGGTTGTTTTGTTTTGTGTGTAGTTGATCCCAGCCAATGTGGTGAAGGATAATAACCTTGATTTTGGTAACGAGAGATAGTAACTGAATCTAAAGTCTCTTTTGTCAATTTTACCAGTTCATAAATCATGTTCTTGAGTTTGGTCGGAAAGTGTGGATTAGTTTCACAAATTTTAAAAATTACATATGAATTAGTATGTATGACAAATCAAACTTTAAGGCTAAGTGTTGACCATGATCCTGTTATCAAATGATTATATTATATAATAATTTAGTATATCTACAAAAATTGGATCGCCTAACTTTATTTTTTGACATTGGATCGCCTAACTTAACAAAACAAAATTTACATTATCTTCTTTGGACAAACCAATGAACTCTGGACTCGTGTCTTGTTCCCTCTCTTAAGCCCATGTTTCTGCCAAGGAAGCATTAGTCAAACTTCAAATCCCAACTTAGAGTAATTAACTATATTAGTTCTTTTCAACTATTTTAATTATGATACTTAAGAATAGTTTAAGAAGATGCTTACCATTTTCTCTTCACCATTGCTATTGAACCACGTGTTTATTTTGGAATTGCTCGTACGTGTGACGTGTCCACGAGAAGGTTGGCATTGCCAATACGATTAAAACTCTTGCCGTTTCAAAGAACAAAGCGACACGTGTGTTTTGGGCTCACCAATACCTAAGATATTTATAGGAATTTTTTTTAATATTTCCTGAAAAGGAAATGACTGCTAAAACAAAAAAGAAAGGATTAGCTTTAAAATGATTGATTTGATTTCATTAGTAGCCAAGATTACAAAATATCTCAATGAGAGTCCAGCTATTGATTGCTTTTAAGAAGGGGTACTTGTGGTCGTATATCCTCCGTTGATTAATAAAGAATTTAGTCTACAAGTCACATGATTAATACACTAATACACATTTCAATGAATTCATGATTGTGTTATATGAACTTTCACCAAAAGTTATATTCTTTCCCTTTAATAAAAATACCTTTTTTCATAGTTCATATCTATTTTTGTTATGATCTCTACAAGTGTCGACTATACTTTCAAAACAATTTGGTATTGGAAGAGTATCAAAACTAGGCATGAGCATAAAAACTGGAATCGGAAAACTCAATCCAAATCATCCCTAACATAAGAGGTTTGGTTCAATTTCAGATAACCAAAAATGCTTGAATAAATTTTAAATAATTTATTTTCGGTTTTCAGTTTTGTTAGGATATGATCCAAAACTTGAACGGATACTCAAAAAACCTAAAACTCGAACGAATACCCATAAAATCCGAAATAGTATATTACACATGATATAAGCCCTATAATTCTTACGTTATTATGGCATTGAAATGTTTAGTGTTTGTTTCATTTTTGTGGGAGTTATTATTTATACTAGAAAAAATTATCTTCAATTCGAAAGATCGCAAAACAAGGAAAATTGAAGTTTACGTTATGAGATTGAATTTTTTTTGGTATTTCGAGTTTTTGGATATTTTGGGTTCAATAACCGGACCAAAATATGGTTATGTTCTATGTCGATTTTAATTATCTTTTGAAAACTGACCCGAATCTGACAAAATCCGAACCAAACTGAATTTTTTGATTGTGAGTCCTAAATTTTTTTACCTAAAATCTGAATAAACCGATCTGAAAACCCGAATTTCTAGGCATAAAAAAAATCAAAAATATTTTAAATATATATTAGAATGGATGACCATTTTTGTGAAATCAACGAAATGCGTTAAAGTAAAATAGAAAACAACGTAGTATGTAAAGAAGGCAACGACAACAACTACAAAAATGATTCGAAAGTATTATTCTCTGAAAATCAATGAATCTGAATTGGAATAAAATAAATAAATAATAACTTTACGGTGTATTAAACTTTGTATCTTACTGCGGTTCTTCTTTAAATATTGTTGAAAAAATTCATACCTTTTTATATCTTAAAATAATGAGAATTTTTAAGAAATTCTCTAAGATAATGGTTTAATTTAAATATTTAAGATAGCACATTTTCACTCATATGCTTAAATTATGTCCAAAAAGAATTATCATGATGAATCAACTTAAAAGTTAAAACTGATATTCTTTTATCATCAAAAAAATCTGTAAACCTAATAGAAATATTGTAATGCATGTTAACCAAATATTTTCAGAAAACAATGTGTGGAATAAATAAAAAATAATGGATGTTTTCTTAAAAATCTCTTTTGCGTTTTTATTTATTATCAAAAAGTGACAAAAACACAAAACTAACGACGGCTATTTATAAGAATCAGGACTAAGTCCTCTTTTAAAATTGACCAAGTCTTTTCCTAAGAGAAACAACAACAAATCAGAAACAAAACCGAAGTAGGATTCTACGTACTTGTGTTAATGAACAGAACTAAAGCAATGAAAAAGGTCCAAACTTAAACAACAATCAACACCAAAAAAGAACAGAGCTTATATGTAAGTAAGAGAAAGAACCTGGAGCTTCTATTGATTGCGTGATTGTTGGCAAATTCAACAAATCATATTGCCTAATGCCTGATTCGCCACTTATGAATATGTATAATACACATAAGTACTCATCATGTATACAACATCTTCTATAAAGATTTGAAAAATATATTTCTCAGTTACATGAAGAATGATTAGTTATATGGTTACACATTCAAACTAAGACTATAAACTTGTAACTACACCGGAAACAAATAAATGCACAATGACATGCACACAAAAAAAAACGGAAATACATATTCAACAACACCTCTTTTAAATCAGCAAAGATTCACGTCTAACCTTGATGGTACCCGTTAATAGAGGATATAATCAATTACAAGAAAAATCAAAATCCGATTAGAATTCGAAAGAAAGTAAATCTGACCCGAGTGAATTGACAAAAATTTAACCCAAAAATAATATCGATTTTGCCACACGCTATGTCTTAAAATGGTTTTACTAAGGATGTCTTGAAATGGATCTTGAAAATCTTCCAAGAATTGTTAAAATATGTCATGATCAATAAATAAAGAGTGATAAGTGACTACTTTTGACAGTATGCATCTAACCTTCTAGAGTCTTACATTCTTTTTGGTTCTCTCTTTTTTTAGGGCAATTTGTCAAACCTATATATCTTTTTCGTTTTGAGAAAATCAGATTTTTCTTTTTTAAAAAAAAGAGTATGCATGAAACACATTATTATTATTGTTTTGATTTAAAAAAACACATTATTATTAATTCACATTTCAATAACGATCCAAATTTCATTCCAATACATATATATACGAATTTTTACATGTAATTTATAATTAAAACGAAATGAGGCTAAGAAAAAAATTAAGTGCACACATGTTGTAGCAATGCAAATGACAACCTCGTATGAACAAACACGTGATTCGATCATGAAAAGAAAACACTTGACATATAAATATGGCGAAGGTAAGTAAAGTTGTTCAAAATGTCTTCAAAGTCTAACAGAATTTCATCATCACCATCCTCATCATTCATCATCATTACCCATTTTCACATGGAAATCGTTTTTCTATCGATTTTTTCATTGAACTTTAAAATATCATTTTAGATATTATTATTATAATTTCTTATAACGGTAGACATTGGAATAAGACAAAAGGACCAGTTGCTTTTTTTTTTTTTTTTTTTTTGAACACTGGACCAGTTGCTTTAATATATAAAAATATACTTTCCAAGGTTCATGCATGCATACATTTTTTTCACGAGATGGATACCATTTTGTTAAACAAATAAAACAAATTATCTCTAACCATGTGAACTTTTTTCTTTCGTTCTAATACTTATCCTAAATAACATAACACCAATAATAGTGACCCGTACCGTAAGAATAGTAAATGTTAAAAAGTCATTCATTCTTCAACCATTCACACTGAACTATAATATATATATATTATTAACCTTACGTATTAGTACCAAATTTATAATTCCAAATTACTATAATGAATAATCACGTAGTTTCAATTATAAATTGTTACCAAATCAATAATCACAGTTTACTAAAAAAAAGTAAAATCTAACCGTTGATAATGAGATAAAGAATGGACAAAAACATCACGATTTAATGTGATAAGATTGTTCTTATCACATAAACAAAAAAGGGACAGGGAGTTACAGGTGAAGTGTTCCTGGTCAAATTGAAACTTGGAAATAATAAAGTTTTTGAAATAGAAAGGTTTATTTTTAATTGAAAACGATATTTGAGAATCACACATCTTAAGTTGCCTAACAATCTACGCATCTTCTTCTTTCCTCTATCCTATTAAGTAAACTAAAAATAGCATTTTCTGATTTATAATATGATTTGATAGTTATACGAGATTTAAACGCGAAAACCCATTTATATACATATAAAATTATTATTAGAAGTAAGATAACAGATTTTCTTTTTCTTTATAGTAGGTGAAAACTCTTGAATTTCGATACAAATAATTGTTCAAAAGAATAACTTGATACGAAAAAATTGACCAATTATTGGTCAATATATTAAAAATAATAATAAATTTAGTGTTCTTAGCTTATTTCTCAAATGAAAAACTAGTATATAGAGAAGAGCTTCGTTGCTCAAACCCTTTCCTCTCTCTTAAAAACCCCAACCTTCTTCTCTCTTTTCAAAAACCCTTCTCTTCATCTCCAAACAAAAATTCTTACAAGAAGATCAAAACTTCTATTGTTTCTTAAAAACCCTAATAGGATAAAATGGATTACGAAGCATCAAGAATCTGCGAAATGGTAGAAGATGATGAACAAATTGATCTACCACCAGGATTCAGATTTCACCCTACTGATGAAGAACTCATAACTCACTACCTCAAACCAAAAGTTTTCAACACTTTCTTCTCTGCTACTGCCATTGGTGAAGTTGATCTCAACAAGATCGAGCCTTGGGACTTACCATGTAAGTTTCACACCTTATCTTTCAAGAACCGTTCTTTGTTTCCTTTCTACAATTAAACTCATAGTTCTGATGGTTTTGATGGAACAGGGAAGGCTAAGATGGGAGAGAAAGAATGGTATTTCTTTTGTGTAAGAGACCGGAAATACCCGACCGGTTTAAGGACAAACCGGGCTACAGAAGCCGGTTATTGGAAAGCCACAGGCAAAGACAAAGAGATTTTCAAGGGAAAATCACTTGTGGGTATGAAGAAAACTTTGGTTTTCTATAAAGGAAGAGCTCCTAAAGGAGTTAAAACCAATTGGGTTATGCATGAATATCGTTTAGAAGGCAAATATTCTATCGAAAATCTTCCCCAAACAGCTAAGGTAATAATATTAAGAGATTTTGTGTGTTTTTGTTTTGTCTTTTTTGGACTTAAAATTTTTTTTTTTTTTGTTTGTGAATGTAGAACGAATGGGTTATATGTCGTGTTTTCCAAAAACGTGCCGATGGTACAAAGGTTCCAATGTCAATGCTTGATCCACACATTAACCGAATCGAACCAACCGGTTTACCTTCGTTGATTGATTGTTCTCAAAGGGATTCCTTCATCGGTTCGTCGTCTCACGTGACCTGCTTCTCCGACCAAGAAACTGAAGACAAGAGACTTGTCCACGAGTCCAAAGAAGGTTTTGGTTCTCTGTTTTACTCTGATCCTCTGTTTTTACAAGATAATTATTCGCTAATGAAGCTGTTGCTTGACGGTCAAGAACCTCAATTTCCCGGTAGATCATTTGACGGTCGTGATCCGTCCGGTTTGGCCGGTACAGAAGAATTGGATTGCGTTTGGAATTTCTGAGTTGTATAACTTCTGTTGTAGACTTGTAGTCATGTGTTCGTGTGTGTGATTGTGTGAATGAATATTCTTGTTACATTTTTTGTAAAAAAAGGAGAAAAAAATGCTAGAAAGTCAATTGCTTTTGTTATGTAGATTGTAGCATTAGTTTTTTATTTTATTTAATAGACTTCCAAATTAATTAAATAATGTCTTGATTTATTTTGCCATGTAGTACAATGCTAAAGACAAGTTAATACATTTAAATAAATTTTATTTTAAAACACACAAAGAAGGTAAAAAATATAATATGACATTATTAAACACACATTAATGTTTATTTATATTGGGATGAAGTAATAATTTAATTTTATTAATTTGAAACTAGAGTAGTTAGAAGCCAAATTTGTTTACTGTTCTTCTCAATGACGAAATTTTAAATGACATATGTTAGGCCACCAACCAAAGAGTTGATATTATGACTTATGAGTATATAAACAAAGTTCCATAGATATTTTATCATTATTATATTGTTATGTCAAACTTAACATGTTTAGGTGATCATCTTGTTTTCATACTACCCAAATTTCGAGCTTGGATATTTTTCATTTAGCAAAATGATAATCTTCCCAAGGCAACTCTAAGATCAATCACTTGTTTTTGGAAAAAAAAAACTTACAGTTACATTAAAATGAAACATGAACATGTGTGATATAATTTATAAAGAAGTAAAACACATGTGCGAATTAATTTTTCAACGCCGCCAATATAACATGAACAATACTCAACTTTATACCAACGTCCTCATCGGATCATATTATTATGTCTCCAATCTTCTTGCGTTCGATCTACTGGCCGTTGATAAAAAAAAAATTGGGTATAAAATTGCATATTCCTCTAAATAGTTTGAGATGGTCCTGGTATAAGTCCACGGTTCTCTAAAGTTTGTGATTGACCAAACAAAAAAAAAAACAATAGTGATAAATGGTATAACATTTTTTTACGTTTTAAAAAGACATGATTCCTCTTTTTATATATTATTTATAATATTAATTATGTTTTTGTATTTTTAAAAATGATTGAATTATATACGACGACTACGTGAAAAATATTACTAATATTAGTTTTTTCACTTTTTGTGATTATTTTTTAAAAACTTTAAGTCATTTTAGTCTTTTTTTTTTTAATAAATGTAAAATTTATTCAAGCAAAAAAATATGTTTTGCGTTAAATGCATCTCCCAAACCTGAGATGAGTAGCCGCAAAAAAAAAAATGATCTGGTGTTTCCATTAGATCTCGACATAATATACATTTGGAATACACACCCACATTTCAAGCACACATTCTATCACCCGTAGGCCGTAGTCAATTTATCGTGTGTAGCAAGCCAAATAAGAAAAGAGTATTTGGGAGTGGCATGAGAAACAAGACTCCGTTGTTCCATACCTTTGTTTGCGAACTGCGACACAGTACCTCACACTTGATTCCATGTGTCTTTAGACGAAAATCACGGTTTGAAATTGCCTTCTTTATTTCGCCAGAAAGCTAGATCCATGTCAAGATAAAGTCCCCTTACTCTTAGTTTCTCAATCTCTTCTCTTCTATATGATTTTGAGTATTTTAACCGGAGGTGGTCTACCAGGGGCGGATCTACATAAGGTAAGTTGGGGGCAGCTGCCCCCCCTAAAATTTTCAATTTCCTTTTAAATGTTAAGGATTTAATTAAGTTGCCCCCTTTGAAAAATATGTTTTGCCCCCACGTAAGACAATCATTCTCCAAACTCAATTTACTTTTCCATTATTTCCATTTTTACTTGGCCATTTATTATATTTCTATTAGCAATATGGTTTTTCCTTATTTGTTTTGCACACTAAACCATTATTTCTTTTTATATAAAATCATTTTTTTCCTTCAACATAACTTCTTTGATGGACAAATTAATCAATGCTTTGATGCAAAATATTTGATGGATTAAGAATAACATTTTTCTTCTTAAATCTTTTGAATATGATTATCTCTATTATAAGTGAAAGAAATACCTCTATGTTTCAAAAAAAAAAACATTTTAAGTATGTATCTTTCGTACCCTGGAAAATATGAATTATTTTACCTATATACAAACTATATTGTATAACGTACTTACAAAAAAAATTAATTTAGTTAACAAAAATTTTGATTATCGTTTGCCCCCGCTAAATTTTTTCTCTAGATCCGCCACTGTGGTCTACATCGATGAGTTTTTGATAACGTCGTTTACCGATGCTGAAGTGTTGATATCTAAATCAATACAAAATCTACTACAAAATAAAAATTCTGTAATTAGCTAGTGTATAAAATTTACTACAAAATGTTTTAACATTTTAATTCAACATACGATCGGTACGTCATTTATATCGGGTTATGATTGCATTTGGCTTATCACAAACCGAACCGAACCGAACCGAACCAAAGGGAATTAAGAGAAAGGGTAATATCGTCATTTAGCAGAAACCCTTTCTTCAGTCTTCTCCTACGTTCTCTTCTTCACTTCCCAAATCTTGCCGACAATCGTCACCGGAGAGCTTCCGTCGACCGGTAAAATCCTAATCCTTTCCTTCCGTTGAAAATGCATTTTATGAATCATTTTTCGATGCGATCTATATATCTATTGAATCTGGAAGTTACGATGTTGTTGTTATCTGAATATCAAATTTCTATAGAAGATTCGCAATCGTTCTCTGTTTTTCATGAATCTAATGCGAAATTTGAAAAATTAGGGTTTTTGGAAATTCTCTAAAATGATCTGTATAATGGCTGATTTAGGTCAAGTGTTTGATAGCTAAAGAAGATGTTGAAGTTTCTATCAAAAGTAAGAGTTGAGTACAACACATTAGATCCAAGACTTGCGTCTTGTGTTGAGTTCTTAGCTCAATGCAATGCAAGGAAGGCCAAAGAGTCGAATCCAAATTGTCAGGTTTTGGTGAAACGTAGAACCGATGAACAGCCGCCGCAGATCACTGTCACGTTTGTTAATGGTGTTGAGGAAGCTTTTGATGCAGCAGCAACCTCGGCTCAGTCGATTAGAAAGATGATTCTTGATAAAGGTCAGTATCTTGAGACAGAGCAAATGTTTCGTGAAGCGGGTGAACAATGGCCTGTGATTATCCCTGATGAAGAACTTCTCCAAGAGGCTCCTGGTGTGAAGGTATGTAATTGTACATTTTCATTTGCTTATTTGAGTGTAGAAAGGAGAAATCTTTGGAAACAGCATATGAAATTTAAGCTGACATGAATGGTCTGCAAGCAAAAACATGTCTAAATCATTAACATTTTCGAGCATTTTCTTTATGCGGAGTGTTTTCGGGTATGTTACTGACCTTTGTGTTTGGTTTTAATGGTGTTTTGCAGCCGAGAAAAGCAGAAGACAAGAAGTAATGCTGCGCCATCTACCATCTATATCTCTTGGTGTATTCTCATTGAATTGACAAATCTTGCTTTTGGGAATGTAAGATCGATATGTGTCTCGAGCTTAGGGTTTCGGGTTTGGACAGATAGATTTGTATTGTTTTCTTGTTTATGTGAACCGACAATGGATGAACTTCTTGGTCAGAAACCAGGACTATGACATTGTTATGGAAGCTCTGGGAATAAAAACCAATTTTTATGGGCAGATATAATCAACAGGCCGGTTCGAGTTTGGGCAACGATAGTATACATAACTTACACATTGAATCCACGAGTACATAAATAGCAGAAGAGTTTCTTGCTTATATATTTTACAGACAAAATCTCGAATATAAAACGTATGTGTGTATATATATCAAACAAATCCTTGTTCTGCATTCATTACCTATCTTCCTTTCTAGGAGCATTAGGATTACCCATCATATCCATCATCATTTTCTCAGGTGAATCTTCCCAGTTCGTAAATGTTTTCAAGTCGATCTGCAGATAAAACAAAGGTGTCAAATTTGAAAACCTTAGTGCATTGCATAATAGATGATTAGATGTTATGATCTTTTGGTGTTTTTTGTTTACCTTTCGACGTTGGTTAGTGAAAAGCTCTTCTCTTTTCTGGTATGCTTGTTGAATTTCCCTAGCCTTATTTCCACCTAACCCCCATGCTTCAATATCTAAAACCAAAGCCTCTACTGGTAAATAACCCTGCAGCAATAATGTATAACAAGAGATGTTAAAATAAGATTCAAGAACGCAAAATAATATTCATTTTGTGTTTTATGGTGTTGTGAGTTGGTTTTTCTGGAATCTAGATGTCTCGGTTTTACCTGGTTTGGGAAAAGAGAGCCTGACTGGTAAGTTTTATCAACTGCATGATGACGGACTGTGATTTTAGCAAAATCTTCATCAATGAAAATTCTCTCGTTTCCAAGTGTTCCCCCGAATCCAATTCCAACAGGCTTGGGGTGTGCATCGTAGACTCCACCAGAGGGATGCAGATGGCTATACGCAAAGTTTTTCTCCTTGCCTGAAGATTATTAACACACTAGTATGAAAGACTGAACTAATGGAAAAGCGATTGTGCCGAAAAAAAAAAATTCAATTTTGTGCAATACCAGAAGATGAGAATGCGTGAAAGACTGGACTAATGGAGAACAAATTCCCAGAGCTTCCATAAAATGCGTCTCTGTTTTCAAAACCATGCTGCAAGATTGCACCAATAACCCACTTCCTCTCGCTTGAAGTACCCTCATGTTCGACTTCACAGCTTGCAGAAATTATCACTAGTATCGGAGCATGATACCCTTCAACGTTGGACCACAGTCGATTCATGCCTTTCCCGTGATGGTATGAGCTGAAAGAGAGATGAACATAACTTAAACACACAGTAGAGACGGAATGTTCAACAAACAAACAAATGTACACATGAATGGCAATTTTAAATCAAATTCAAAACACTTGAAAGATGAGTCAACAAGTTGTCCAGAAGTAAGGCAGTAGGATACCGGTATAGAAGATGTTCATTGGTTTCATTGCTATTGCAGGGAAAGCATGAACTCAAAATCTCCTCGCTTAGTATACTTTTGCTCGTCAAAGAAATCGCCCATGCCCTTCCACATGTTAGAAGGGTGTTTTCGCTTGTCTTGGACGCAGAATCATCTACAGCAGTGGACTTTGAAGGTCCAGATCCATCCTGCAATTCATAAATTCAAACTTCACATATCTCAGCTTTCTTTTAAAACTTCATTACAATTTCCTACGTAACCACACAAACAATTGTACTAAGAAAGACTCTTTAAAGAAACAACTTCTCAGGTTAAATGCAAAGCAGCAAGTAAAAAAGAATACCTCTACACTTGTCAAATTTTGAAGTCTCGAATTACAAAAGTGAGAAAGGCACTCAGTGAGGCTAGGAACTGTCATAAACGCCCACGTTAAGAATTTCCCGATAGGAAGTTCGAGTTCTAATCCAGAAACATCAGTCTCCCAAACATCCAAACTCTTTCCAGATTCAGAATCAATGCAAGACACAACTGCTGATAAAATCAAATGACTTATATCCGGAAGAAACAAACAACCCTTCATTTCAGCGGCTTTAGAACTTCGACCATCCCACGACATTGTCCAACAAATCCAAAGAAACACAAGCAATTCTCTAATCGAAATCGACCCGTTAATCTTACAATCAGCTTCATCAGATTCAAACTCAAGCTTTGGAGAAAAGCCTGCATTTTTAGCTGTCACATAATAAACTCTCAACAAAGTGTTGAAAGACATCGAAGCCGACATTCTTCCACAACATTTGACATAACCTCTAGCAAACTCAACCCAACTCAATCCTTCTTTATCAGGCACGAAGAACAAATCTACTAAAGATGATCCTAAATGCTCCAACAATCTAGGAAACAAGTCTCCAACTTTTTGCCCTCCTTCAGTAGTAATTGAATCGTAGCTCAAACCAAAACTTTGCTACAAGAAGAGAAACCAAAATTGAAGCAAAGATTCAATTTTTATAACCCTAAGTTAAATTATTCATGATTCTATCACAAACCCAGATTAACGGAAACCGAATTATACCTTGAAGGATTGAAAAGGAACAGTATTGGTTTGAGAATCGACGAGTTTGGAGAAAGATCGTTGAAGCAGAGGAAGAGCTCCGGTTGAAGCAGCAAGGCTTTCGATTTCTCGTTTCTCCGATGATTCTTTGTTGTCTGTTGAAGATGAAGCACCCATAGTGGTGAATGATGATCGGAGAAGATGCAAAAATCCGAAATTTAATCAGAGAAATTGGAGTCCATGATTGGAAATCTTATTATATGATCTTTAAGAACAAAAGAGACGTTTTTGAACAGTTCCTTAGATATTTTCACGATTCGCCACGTAATTAGAATCAATTGTGGATTGATCCGGTTCCGGTTCGAGAACAAATTAGAACCGGACTAATTAGAGAAATGTGTTTAAACCGAATACCAGCTAAATTTAGACTTCACAAAATTCATAAATAGAAATGTCCAATGATTAAACCACATATAATTTACTTAGAAAATTAACTTATTATATGATCTTTTTTACTTTTTTTTTTTTTTTTTTTTATAGAAAATTAACTTAAACATCACTTGTAGGTTAGTTATTTTATTCCTTTTTTTTCTTAAGCTTGTAAAATATCATTAGAAAATGAAAGGTAGAATAATCTTGACAAAAAAAGAATAAAACAAAATTACAACTTTGTTAAGAATATGGAGGGAGTGAAAACAAATTATCAAATCTAGATAAGCATTCGCTTTCTCGCTCTCGTCCTATGTCTTTTTACCGATATAGTGTTGCAGATTGTTCAGTCAATATTTTTGAAGATAGTTAAAGGCAGACCGGTCCTTTGTTGTCTAAAGCTGAAAAGAAAAATACTACAAGGATTTGAATCTAGAATGTTTATCTAAAGGAGAAAGTCCTTACTATTAGACTACGAAACAACTTTTGCAAAAAATTGTTGTCTCAAATCTTTTGGCGTTAAAGCCATTGTTTTGTGAGCTTTAACCCAAGGCCGGTAACAACTCAGAGAAGAATTTTGGCAACTCATGGACAATTATTGTTGTCCGTATGAGTACAAAAAAAACCCAATGGGCTGACTCGGTCAGGTTATATAGTCTTACAATCTTACTGTCGCATTCATGAAGAACTCCAACATGAAGGAACAAGCAAACAGGGACTCGTTTTCATCAGAGGAAGATGAGCCAGTCCAACTTCCTGCCTTGGATAATGAAGCCTTGACTGAGAGATTTCGACTCACTGTAGTTGGCCGTGTTTTCCACACTAATGGGCGGAGTATGGAAGCTTTTCTGGCGTTTATGCCAAGTACTGGAATCTGGGACGTGGAAGGAAGAGTCCGGGGCTTTGACTTGGGCAATGGACGTTTCCATTTCAACTTTGACTCTGAAGAGGAGCTGCAAAAAGTCCTCAAAAAGAGACCCTGCCATTTTAATAAATGGACTTTTGCTCTTGAGAGATGGGAACTCAATTTTCAGGAAGATCTCCTGAACTATGTAAGCTTCTGGGTGAAGATAAGGGATCTCCCTCTGCGCTGCTGGGTGGAAGAAGCTTTTAGAGGTATCGGAAGAGCTCTTGGCCGAGTCTCGGAGGTGGACGTTTCGGAGGCTAGGGTGCTAGTTGCAGTAAACGTAACAAAACCTCTGAAATTCAAAAAGAGAGTGGTGACTGATAATGGCAAGGAAGTGACTGTCTCTCTGATCTATGAGAAGCTATATCGATTTTGCTTTGCCTGTAACATGATTTCTCATGAGGAACGGGACTGTCCCCACCTTACAGAGAACCAAAAGCAACAAAACAAGGAAAGAAGAGCTGCAGCCTTACCTCTTGGAGGACGCAGAACAGAGGAAGCAGGAGCTCTAGTGGGTCGGCGAGAAAGAGACCAGAGAGGAGGCCAGAGAAGCCGTGAAGATAGACGCAACGATGTCAGGGATGATGGGCATCGCTCTGGCGTAGATCTATCCCGCAGTGAGACTTACCACTCTGTTCAAAATGACTTTCCACCGGCGTCTAGGCAGGTGAGAAGAAACTTGTACTCCTCCAAAGAAATTCCCAGACAGGAAGGCCACCGGAATCCTGTTTGGCAGCGCATTGGATTAGACACCACAAGATCTCACTCCCGTAGCAGGGAGACGTCTATCCATTCTTCTTCGGGCTCGAGGAAGAAATTTGATGAAATTGTGGCTAATCGAAGTGGAAAACGCCGGGAATCTGATGGGCGCAGAGCTCCTTCAAGACGAAGAGAGTCTCCTCTTCGAATACGGTCACCTGGTAGAGAGGAGCCAAGCCTGGAAAATTGGAGAAGTTCCCGTCGCCCTCCCCGACACCAGTCTAATCGAACAACAGCGGACGGTGCTGCTTTGTCAGTCAAGGACAAAGGAAAAGGGAAGGTGGTCGTGGCTGAGGATGACCAGAGAGATGGCGCGGAAGATAATGAGAATGACGATCTAAACCTGATTCCAGCAGATTTTGAATTTGGATCCGGCTCCGGGAAGGACAGACCAGATGAGGTGAATGCTAAGCTCCCTCCACTCCCGTCATTGGACCAGAATAAGATGGCAACTCCCGATACCAATACTCCGGTGGAAAAGGATCCAGTCGCAGACGCGATGGAAGGTGAGGAATATGCAGCGGAGGAAGAAAATGGCCTATCAGACTGGGCGGAGGAGGAAGAAGGAGCTGCGAGGGAGTCGGATGTAATCCAGTGCACCCAAGTTGGGGAATCAATTCCCTCTGATTGGGAGAACCTTGCGGATGAGGATATGGAACCTGATCGGGAACTCACTGACGAGGATTTTAGGCTTATGCAGGAACTTGAAAACGAGATGATTCTCGATGGGTTGTTGGAGAATGATGATTTACTTGGGGAGGAGATGCAGGATGCTGAGCAAGAAGGGATTGTAGATGATGATGAGGAGAGAACGATTTCAGAGCAGGTGATCCCCATCTCTCATTCGGCGGAAGAGGTGCCGGCAACGTCGCAGTCTCCAACAAGTAAAAGGATTAGGAGATCAAGTAGGCTTGGTGGGCCAAAGACTGATGGGGCAGGCCCATTATCTCAATTTGGGCAAGTGGGGGAAAAAGAGCCTTCTAAGCATGAGCCCAAGAAGACCATTCCACGCAGCCCCTCAAAGTGCATTGCCGCCTCTAGGAAGCTCAAGCCTTACCAAGCCAAAACATCGCCTAAGAAGAGGCCAACACCGGCAGCAAATGGTATTCCAAGCAAGGGTGACAACATCCCTCAATCTGAGGTGGCTACATACGTGAAGAACAAAGGGAAGAGACATGAGAAGAAGGCTTTGAAGCCTAACAAAGGTGTGGAGGAGTCCCGGATCTCCCCCGAGCCACCCGCATGAGGACTGTAGCATGGAATTGCCAAGGGGCGGGAGCGAAAGACACGCGTCGTCGACTGGTAGAGTTATGTAGGATCTACTCGCCAGGTTTTTTATTTTTATCAGAAACCAAAAATGAGAAAATGTATCTGCAAGAAGTGCAAGTAGATTTAGGTTTTGATAACCTTCAAACCGTCGAGCCGGTAGGCACTAGTGGCGGGTTAGCATTATTGTATTCGAATGATTTTCCGGTTAAGTTTTTACTGTTAGATGACCGGATAATCGATATTGAAACTATCATTAATGGAAATCGGGTCTTTATGACTTTTATTTATGGTGATCATGTTGTCTCAAATCGTGAATATGTGTGGGAACGATTAATGCGTATCGGTGTCGTGCGATCTGAGGCATGGTTTATTATTGGCGATTTTAATGAAATCACGGGAAACCATGAGAAACGAGGAGGGAAAAAAAGGTCGGAAGCCTCCTTTCTACCATTCCGTGCTATGATCCATTCTTGTGGGCTTATTGACTTTCCCTTTCAAGGAAATCAATTCTCATGGATTGGACAACGGGTAAATGGTAAGATCAGATGTCGTTTAGACAGAGCCATGGGTAATGAGGAATGGCATAATATTTTTTCCCACACCAATGTGGAGTATTTAAAGATGCGGGGCTCTGACCATAGACCACTCCTTGCATCTATTCAGTCTAGTCCGAAAAAAGTTTCGAGAAAATTTATGTTTGACAAAAGATGGATTGGGAAACCTGGACTCATCGAAGCAGTGATAGAAGGATGGACTGGCGAAGGGCAGAGGACAGACCGGCCTATCATGAAAAAAATTTAGATTTGCAAAAGAGTCATCTCCATATGGAAGAAATCAACCCGAACAAATTCGGAGTTACTAATCAAGGAACTCCATGATAAGATTGAGGAAAATTATAACGATGATAATGCTTCTCTGGAAGAACTCCGGGATCTTAAAAAAAGATTGGGAGATGCTTATACAGACGAAGAAATCTTTTGGTATCAAAAGAGTCGCCAAAATTGGTTGAACCTCGGAGATAAAAACACAAAATATTTTCATGCCTCTACAAAACAAAGGAGGGCAAAGAACAAGATTCTAGGCATTCTAGATGAAAATGGCGTATGGGTGGATAATGAAGAAGGAATCGAAAAAGTTGCGGTGGCGTACTTTGAGAATCTCTTCTCCTCAGCGAACCCGGTAGACCCCTCCATGGTTCTGAACGATATCTCTCCATCGGTATCTCCGGTGATGAATGCGCATCTAGTCAAAGACATCACTGAGGAAGAAGTAAAACGAGCATTATTCTCCCTAAATCCGACAAAGGCTCCGGGACCAGACGGGATGACAGCCCTTTTCTTTCAACGTTTTTGGGACGTAATTAAAGGCGATCTCACCAAAATGGTGAAGAACTTTTTCAACTCCGGTATCTTTGATGGGAAGTTGAATGAGACCAACATTTGTCTTATCCCAAAAGTAGAAAGACCGCGGGAAATGACTGGTTTTCGCCCCATTAGCTTATGTAATGTAAGCTATAAGGTAATCTCAAAAATCTTGAGTCTTCGACTTAAGGGTTTTCTTCCGGAGTTAATCTCTGAGACACAGTCTGCATTTGTTGCAGGACGATTAATCACTGATAATATCTTGATAGCCAAAGAGAATTTTCACGCACTCCGCTCTAACCCGGTTAACAGGAAAAAGTTTATGGCCCTCAAAACGGACATGAGCAAAGCCTATGATAGAGTTGAATGGAGTTTCCTCCGAGCTTTGATGGAGAAGATGGGTTTTGATCATAAATGGGTGACGTGGATAATGCAATGCATTACCTCAGTCTCTTACAGAATCCTGATTAATGGCGATCCAAAAGGGCGCATTAGACCGACTCGGGGTATCCGTCAAGGGGATCCCATTTCTCCGTACCTTTTTATTCTATGTACGGAAGCACTGATATCTCAGATTCGTAAGTCTGAGCGGGAAGGAAAAATTCAAGGCCTCAGAATCTCTCATGCAAGCCCTCGAGTTTCTCATCTCCTGTTCGCGGATGATAGCTTATTCTTTTGCCAAGCAAATGCGGAGCAAAGCAAAGAAGTTATTGATATCATTCGGTCCTATGGCGGGGCTTCGGGCCAAGAGATCAATCTATCCAAATCTTCCATTATGTTCGGTAATGAGGTCCCATCCCCTGTAAGACAAGAGATCAAGGCTATTATTGGAATTTCACGAGAAGGAGGGATGGGAACATATTTAGGCCTTCCGGAGAAGATACATGGCTCCAAAGCACAAGTCTTTGCGTTTGTACGAGATAGACTACAAACTAGAGTGAACTCTTGGTCTTCAAAATTTCTGTCGAAAGGGGGTAAAGAAGTCCTAATCAAATCACAAGCACAAGCCCTCCCGACATATGTTATGTCATGCTTCTTATTACCAAAAGCAATCTGTTCCAAGCTTACCAGTGCAATTGCTAATTTTTGGTGGAGCAATAAATCTGAAAGTAGAGGAATACACTGGATTGCGTGGGATCAAATTTGTACCCAATTATCAGATGGAGGTCTAGGATTCAGGACTTTGGAAGACTTCAATCTTGCATTATTAGCAAAACAATTATGGAGATTGCTACGATTCCCGGACTCTCTCTTGAGTAGGGTACTTAAAGGACGTTACTTTAGGTATAGTAGCCCTTTAGAGATCACAGTATCTAATCGACCATCATATGGTTGGAGAAGTATGTTGGCGGCCAAAGCTGTACTTAAATTAGGAATCCGTAGGACTATTGGCTCTGGTTTCAACACGAGTATTTGGGCGGACCCGTGGATTCCAGACTCTCCTGCTCGCCCTCCAAGAGGGCTCTCAGAAGAGAGAGACCCGTTGATATTTGTAAATACTTTGATCGACTTTGGAACGAAGCAGTGGAAACTGGACCGCCTTAGGGAATTGTTCCCTCCGGAGGAGATTACCCTTATATTAGGGATAAAACCGAGCCTTAGAGTCTCGAGTGACGGATATAGTTGGTCCATGACGAAGTCTGGCAACTACACAGTCAAATCGGGATACGAGGCCGCGAGAACCATCTCTCGCCCTGTTTGCGACCACCCTTCTCAGGGACCTAGTGTTACGGCACTGAAGACGCAAGCTTGGAAATTAAAAACTACGCGAAAATTAAAACATTTCGTGTGGCAATGTGTGACAGGTTGTTTGGCCTCGTGCCAAAGGCTTTTTTATCGCCATATTGGCAGAGATAAAGGATGCTCAAGATGTGGTGCAGCAGAAGAAACGATTAATCACTTGATCTTCGAATGCCCTCCTGCGAGACAAGTCTGGGCCCTCTCCAATATCCCATCATCACCTTCTTTATTTCTCTCACCTTCTCTGTACACTAACTTGGATTATATGTATTGGCGGGGTAAAGAGGTAGGTGCGGATGAAGAGAGTCTAAGAATATTTCCATGGATTATGTGGTATATATGGAAGGCACGCAATCGAAAGATTTTCGAGAATTTGAGTGTTCCACCTCAGGAGACTTTAGACTTAGCAATTCAAGAGGAAGGAGCATGGAGGCGGGCGAATACCCAAGAAGAACCCCATACTGTGACGGCTCATAGAGTGCAAGTGACAATTCCCGAGGATGTACCGGTTTGCTATATAGATGGGTCTTGGCATGGGGAGGAAGCTAGGAGCGGGCACGGATGGATTGCTTATTTTGGAGGACGAATGGTGCACTTAGGTTTAAAAGGCTCGCGTCGAAGCCTTTCCCCTCTCCATGCGGAACTAGAGACCCTTCTGTGGACGATGAAGTGTTTAGTGGTGATCCCGATGACGAGCATTCTATTGTTGACGGATTGCACAGATCTTATAGAGATGACCTCCAATCCGGAGGAGTGGCCCACGTTTTCCACAGAATTGGTGGACTTTGGATATTACAGGGAGTTGTTTTCATCGTTTAGGTTGCAGTATATCCCTCGTAGTGGTAACTCTTCCGCTGATCATCTTGCGAAATGTGCAAGAAGTCGCGGGTTTTGCTTTTCCCATGTAAGTTCTACGGTTCCCGATTGGCTCTCGCTAGAAGAGAGTCCTTTACCGTGAATTAATATATGGTGCTTGATTGACAAAAAAAAAAAAGAAGCCCCATGAATTAGAATTTAGCTTTGCTACAATAAAAACAAAGTTTCGGCTCAAGTAATTTGTGGGCCCTTCGACAACTAAAAATACTTAGGTTAATAAATCAAAATTTATAAACTATTAAGGATAAATAATAATTTTGAGATCCTTTAACTTAACATTTTTCAAAAAATAGGCCTCCTAATTAAAGAAAATTTTAGCTGAAAATTTATGGGTCATTGGCCCCACGTCCCATTGCGCTTCCTCTTAAGCCGGCACTATCTATATAGACCATCTGGATTTTTTTTATTAGCTTCTTTTTTTCTTTTTACACTATAAATGTTAATATCATTAAAAATAAAAGTTGGTTGTTACAAAGTAAACTCTTTGGATTTAAAATTTTAGCTAAAAGAAATAAAAAAAAATCTCAAAATTGGGAAATCACATAAAGTAAGCTCATGATGTCCAGAGTTGCATCAAGAGGCGAAAGCGCTTGCAGTGCCGTCTTGCAGTGATGATGTTTTTTTTTTTTTTTTGTTATCCGAAATTAATTAGAGCTCAAAAGAGTCATTCCTGTGGAATGTTGTTTACAAATGTGATATGAAGCGGTTCTGTACGAATTTTTCGTGCCAGATGATCCGCTTTTACATTAGCATTGCGAGAAATTAAAGATAAAGAGAATGATGAGAATTCTTCCTTGTCGCTCTGAAATTCCTCCAAGTACACTGAAAACGCCGGCCATTCGGTTGGAGAAGACACCATCTTAACCAGATCAGAACAGTCTGTAAGGAACTCTACCTCTTGATTATCTGCACCTATCATACACTTCATCGCCCAGAGAAGGGCCTCGAACTCGGTATGTAATGGAGATAAACTTTGACGGAGATTTGCAGCTCCCATGGTTGGCGGCTCTCCGTTTGATGATGTACAGAACCATCCTGTACCGGAGAACTTATCACTTTCTTTCCACGATCCATCCACAAAGCAACGGTATCCTGAATAATTCAAGTCAAGTGAAGTATTCCCCACTCGAGACCGATTTACCAATTCCACGGTACCATGAGTTTCATGATGAAGCTCAATTTGTGCAGACTGGCACAATTGTGCTTCTTTTTCCGCAAACCGTAATACCTCCAACGGATCTTTATCAATATTTTCAAATATTTTTTCATTCCTTGCTTTCCATATATACCAGATAATCCATGGAAAAGCTGAAGAGTCAAAGTCCGAAGGTATTCTCCAAAATAAATGGTCCAAATTCGCAAAAATAGACTCCGTTGGAAAAATTCCCATTGCTGTAGGAATCTGAGAAAGGGCCCAAACCTGTCGTGCCGGGTGGCACTGAAAGAGTGTATGATTGATTGTTTCCACTGGTTCGCCACATCTGGCACAACCTGTATCACAATCAATTCCTCTTCTCCGTAAATTTTCCGTAACTGGTACACAACCCGTTAAAATTTGCCATAAGAAATGACGTATCTTAGGTGGACAATGCACTTGCCAAGAATGTGCTTTTAACGGTTTGATGTCTGGACCAATCAATGAGAAATTTGTCTCCAAATTTCCTAACCGTGCGGTATGATATCCCGATTTGACTGTATATTTTCCGGATTTTGTAAAATGCCAACCCAGTGTATCCTCCTTAGTTAGCGCACCCACAGGTAGGGCACTTATGATGGCGATATCTTCTGGATCAAAGATCTCCTGTAGGAGAGCAATATTCTAAAAAATCGACCGACTATCTATAAGATTGTTTACTTTTAACAATGGGTCAACAAGTGAACCATTACTCTTTGCTGGTCTCGGGAATTGAGCAGGAATCCAGGGATCCTCCCAAACTGAGATGGATGTCCCCGATCCGACCCTTTTAATATAGTGGCCGACGGAATTTTTTATTAGCTTCGAGGCCGATATATACATATGTGTAGAGACCTAAAATTGGTCAATGTAGGAATATACATCAACAACAAGACATAATACTGTATATGATAATCTTCAATATTTGGATTGTTCTAGTCTGTTGATGTCATGCATGGATTTTAATAGGAAAATAACATCTTCATTGACAAAAATTATTTTCAGAAACATGAATGCTGTCATAAAAGGCGTCTCGACTTATAGGAAACTCTCTATATGTTATGTCACTTCTGTTACAAAATTTTAACCTATATTTCAAAAAACTTAATTGCAGAAAAAAAAATCCTAAGGACCAACAACGATGGTTGGGCAGCTTGAGTTCTGGCTATTGCCTATTGATCACCAATCTTTACTAAACATCTGTCGCAATTGGTCATTAATCTGTTGTGAACAGTAAACATATAGAGGTTTTTTTTTTTGGTATCAATGTAAAGTACTTATAGGAATAATCAGACAAGAACAAAAAATAAGAGGAGAAAAACGAAAATCTAGAGCGGAAACAAGAGAAAAACACCAATTCCGAAATGTCAAACTCGGATATTTGCCTTATTTTCACAACTCCAGAGTTTGGCATTAAACGTGTAGAGTTGTAATCCCTTCTTTTTTTCCTGAAAACTATTCATGTCTTTATCAAAACATCATTCTATATAGTAAACTGAGTAGAACCGACCCTACATAGTAAACCAATCCTGATCGAACCGAACATTTTTATTTACCAAATCGAATTAAAAAATTCGACATCATTCTTCCATTACCAGATTACAAGAAATTCGAACTAATCAAACCTAACCAATTAAATATCTAATGTACAAAGCCTAATCGTTAAGAAAACCCACTCTACTATTTTCTTATTTGTTTGTTTGTTAAAGACTTATATGTTCCGGTCAATACTTTAATCTCACACGATGGATCGGTCAGTGGACTTTTGTTGAATAGTGAATGTTCGTGCTTTGGATATTTTAACACATGTATATATATTCGATTAACCAGTAAAATCTTCATGACTAGTACTAGTTTTCTTAATAAATAGTTAGAGTTGAATCAAACTTTAATTCCTACAAAAAGAATATTTTTACTATCACATTCAAAGTATATGATTACACAATTAATTATTAGGATCAACTTCAAGGAAACGAACAAAAGAAAAAGCAAACCCAACATGATCTACAATCGTCAACGCGCGTAGCCAGCTCATGACCAATTACATAACGCGCTTTTCCGTCGTTTTATCAAACTACCTCAACACTCTAGCCGATTTCATTGACTTCAACATCACCATTTGACTTCTCAATCTTTCTATAAGTAACTCACGGTCTCGTATAACTTTCCATGCATCTAAAACAAACTCTATCTACTTACTCAAAACACACTTGAGACCTTATCTAAAACACAAACCAACAAAAGGAAAAAATGGGTTTGGTCCGATTATTATGTTCGTTCCTAGTCTTTCTTTGTTGTCTCATCGCGGTTTATGGTCAAGGTACGAGGATCGGGTTCTACTCGACCACATGCCCCAATGCCGAGACGATTGTTCAGACCACTGTGGCATCTCACTTTGGTTCAGATCCAAGGGTTGCACCGGGGTTACTGAGAATGCACAACCATGATTGCTTTGTCCAAGGTTGTGATGGTTCAGTGCTTTTATCAGGACCTAACTCTGAAAGAACCGCTGGCGCAAACGTTAACCTTCGTGGTTTTGAGGTCATTGATGATGCCAAGACGCAGCTCGAGGCGGCATGTCCTGGTGTTGTCTCTTGTGCTGATATCTTAGCCTTGGCGGCTCGTGATTCCGTTGCTCTCGTAAGTATACATATACTAATACAAATATCATACATAAGCGAAGAATTAATCTCGATTGTTTTAAATGCCAATATTTTGTGTTTTCATTTAGATATGAGTAATAAAAAGAGAATTAAAAAGGCAACACAATCATTATTTCTGTGTTTTGTGTTTACGTTTACAAATAAAAATTTTGGTTAAATTACTAAAAGTTGTTGTATATTTGTTGAAAGTAGTTACATCCTACATGTCACAAAACTTTGATATTAATTAAAAACATACATATAGGCCCTGTTCTTTTAAGAAGCGTGCGATTCTCACTGTGCGACTGATTTGTATAACTGAATTGCCTTTAAGTTTTTTTCATCTCTTCTTCATCTGTTCCTCATCTTTTCTATTTTCGGTCGCTGCGACTAAAAACCTGAGATTTTAGAGTCGCCGGAGAAAACAGCGGCACAACCCAACCCTTAATTTCAAAGAAGCGATCGTCGCTGGGTTCAAATTGCCATCTTCCAAATTTACAGATCTCTGCAATTTTATCATCTTCTTCAACTTCAAAAACAATTTTTAATTAGAAGTTTATTAAATTTACAATTATGCCCTTAGAAAGACTCTAAATTACAAGATTAAAAAAAAATCAGTTTTTAAAAATCGGTCGCCGATGAGAATCGCACGATTATGAAAAGAACATGGCCATAATTGAAAATAGAGATATTTTTATATATATAATTTTAGATTTTAAAAAATTTACATGCAACATTTAAGTTTATTTTACTTGATGACATCTATAATATTAAATTAGTATTGGTTACAAAACAAGTAAAAACAAACAAAAATAAGATAGAACCAACGAAGCCGACAAAGAGTATAATTAACGTTTTTGTTTGGCTTTGTGTAGACGAACGGACAAAGTTGGCAAGTTCCAACAGGACGTAGAGATGGACGAGTTTCCTTGGCATCGAACGTTAACAATCTTCCTTCACCAAGTGACTCTCTAGCCATTCAACAAAGGAAATTCGCCGCTTTTCGCCTCAACACTCGCGATCTCGTCGCTCTTGTTGGTAAGTAATCTATCACAGTTTAGAAATCAGAATAGATCCAAATAGATTAGTGTTGTGCACTGCATGCATGATTCATCTTTTCACTATTGCTTAAAGTTTTAGTTCGGTAAATATATATATATATATTGAATTATATAATAATATAAATATAATCAAACTCATATGAATTTAATAGGAGGACACACGATCGGAACAGCTGCATGTGGGTTTATCACGAACAGGATATTCAACTCGACCGGAAACACAGCCGATCCAACAATGGACCAAACATTTGTACCACAACTTCAAAGACTTTGTCCCCAAAACGGCGACGGATCAGCGCGTTTGGATCTTGACACCGGAAGTGGAAACACTTTTGACACATCTTATTTCATCAATCTCAGCCGTAACAGAGGAATTCTTCAATCCGATCACGTTCTTTGGACTAGTCCGACCACGAGGCCCATAGTGCAAGAGTTCATGACTTCTACAAGCAACTTCAATGTCCAGTTCGCTAGGTCAATGGTTAAGATGAGTAATATTGGTGTGAAGACTGGGAGAAATGGAGAAATTCGTAGGGTTTGCTCTGCTGTTAATTAATCAGTGATTAAGGTTTTATGGCTAACTTGTTCAAAGGATTTCTTTTTTTATAGTTTGATTTTAATTTTAAACCAATAGAATAAAAAGGATATGAGAGATACCCAAAAGTGGGTTGTTGATTGTATTTGTATTCCATTTCTTTCGGTTTGATTTGGTGGAATTAATAAAGTTTAATTTCGTTACATGAAAAGATCAATATAATTGGTGTTACATTTATCGCCGACCTTCCGTGGAATACCAATTATATCACCTTGATCCAATTGATCATTCGAATCAAAGATAGTTTCAATAATGTGGAAGTATAAATGAGAGAATAGGGTTTAAATGAGTCTCGTTTGATAAGCCTACATTTCACCTATAGGCGAAAACGCCGTAACACGAAATACTTTCAGGTCGAGATGTTTCAGTCAGCCTTCCTCAAAAGACCTTTCTCTTGGTACTGATTTATACATGCATAAATCATTGCAACACTACACTAGTCGTCATGGGGTTCCGTATAAGGCGTGACCATCTCACACTATTGGGGCTTATTTTGTCTTGGAGGCTAATGTGCCCTGTATCCCTTATATGATCCACAAAATTAAGGTTTATAGTAGGTTTATGTAGTCTTAATTTAATTAGTTTTCCTAACTTAGGCTTGATTCCTAGTTCTAGCTACTCGGCTTAGACGCCAATCCTATTGAGAACCCGACAGACGACAGTCCGACTTGGTGTACTTGATTCCTAATAACTAGAGATCGCATGACAACAAAGTGAAACAGGTTGCGAAAGGGTTTTTCTAAGTACTGTACAAGGTGAACATTACTCAGATATGTTTGCCTCTAATTATAAGTATGGTATTATATTCGACTAAATCTTACACTTTAAGAAGTTGAGGAAATAGTACCTCCAATATGAAGTCAGTGAGAAGGAAGAACAGGTACAAATTTCGAAAAAAAAAACATTATACGGTCAGAAATAAACAAGAAGACCATGGTGCAACAAGAATCATGATCATTTTCTTAAACAAAGTTTTCATATGATTCCAATTCATGCAAAAAAAATATTCTGATATTACACGAAATGATCATCATAATTATATAAGGATAGAAAAGTAAATCATAACACAAACAATAGATAGATAACCAAACAGAGTAGCAACAGTTACATGGTGACCCAATACCAATTCAAGGTCTTATTATGAACCAGCACAAACTCAAGACTCTGCAGTAATACAGAGATTAAAACAAACATAACACCAACGTCGAAAGATATTATGTAGAAAGATATGTGACTTAGCTCTTTATTTAGTAGTTATTTGAAGCTAAGCAAACACACTTTCTCAATACACTCTCAAGTACTGAGAGGTTTTAGTCATCATCTTCATCACGACGCTTCTGGTGGTGATGCTTGTAACGGTGCTTCTTCTTCTCCTCATCCTCATCAGAGTCATTGTCACCCTGTAAATTTTGTATAGAGATGATTAAGTTAAGAAAAAACTGTATCCTTTGTAATATTCGATACAGTGACATCGTTACAATCAAATATCCTACAAGCTGTCCAAATTCAACCAACTACCGAACCAGAGAAGTCATATGGGATCCTAGAACTAGCTTTCGATTCAAGCAAACTCAAGCATATCCATTTCAAAATGTGAAGCAGAGAGATAATTGTTGACATGTATCCAGACAGACTTCAAAACAATGTTCTTCGTAATGTATGTTCATAGATGGCTAGATCATGAATGAACATAAAATTATCACTAAAGATATAAACTTTAAACAAGGTTCTTTATATCGGATGTTTATAGAGATGGCTAGATCATGAATGAACCTGAATTCATCACTAAAGATATAAACTTTAGATGATTAGATCACTCTACACTATGATCAACAAAGGGTTTTAACCAATCAAACTTATTTTCCACACAACCTAAATCATCAATGAACATGAATCATCACAAAGATATCAACTTTAGATCAATATGGAGATCGATCACTCTACACTATGATCATCAATAAAGGGGTTTAACCAATCAAACTTATTCTCCACACAATCTAGATCCAAACTATGGAAAGTTCACTAAACAAAAAAATGTTAAGTTCTTCAACTTACGTATTTCTTGCGGCCATAGCTCCCTTCCTCATCATCACCAGAACCAGAACGGTTCCTACGCTGCTCATCATCATCATCATCGTCATTGCCACGGCCATAGCTAGGCTTCCTGTAACTCCCCTCTTCCTGCTCCTCAGACCTCCCATAGCTAGGCTTCCTATAACTTCCTTCCTCCTGTTCCTCAGACCTTCCATAGCTAGGCTTAATGTAACTCTCCACCTGATCCTCAGACCTTCCATAACTAGGTTTCCTGTAACTTCCTTCCTCTTCTTCCTCAGATCTTCCATAGCTAGGCTTCCTATAACCTTCCTCTTCTTCCTCAGATCTTCCATAACTTGGCTTCCTATAACCTTCCTCTTGTTCTTCAGATCTTCCATAGCTAGGCTTCCTATAACCTTCTTCTTGTTCCTCAGACCTTCCATAGCTAGGCTTACGCTCATACTCAGTCTCCGATCTCCCACCATAACCAGATCCAAGCCCAGATTCAGGTCTCCTACCATACTCAACCTCCGTTCTTCCACCACCACCAGAGCCATACTCCGATTCAGTCTCCGTCCTTCCACCATAACCAGATCCATAACTCTGCTCAGGTCTCCGACCATACTCCACCTCCGTTTGTCCACCGTATCCAGATTCAGTCTCCGTCTGACCACCATAACCGGATCCATACTCAGATTCCGGTTTCCTCCCATAACCGGATCCAGATCCATAACCAGGATTTGGTCTTTCACCTTGAACATGACCACCACCATCTGAATCGGGTCGAAATGCGGGTCGTGGCTTGGGTCGAGAATAGCTACTGTACTCTGTGTTAAGAGCTTCATCTCCGTAAGCAGAAGGCTCATGGATCTGAGTAAATTCAGGTCTCTCGTATTCAAAATCATCATCGACACCAGATGAGAGAGGGTAACAAGTCTCATCGGAAGGTGGAATCGGACGGCCGTAAATCACCGTGATGTCGTAACCACCACTGTACGGCGTTGGATCAAACTCATCGAAATCGTCGACATCGTTCTCGTCTCTGGTGTAGTACGGCATCGTTTTAGAAGAAGCTTCTCTGTGTTTTTTCTTTTTCTTTGATCTGATCAAAATGATAAAATGAGGAATTTATACGCAGAGGAAGATGATGATGAAGAAGACGAAGAGTTTGAAAAACGCTGCGTTTTGATGATAATTATTAATTGTGGATCCCATTTTCCTGGTGTTTACATGGAGACCACTACGATTCGGGAAAGCTGTGCCACGTGGCTTTATCTTAATTGGTATAAAAGCAATTTGATTGTACCGATTGCCGACGGATCGAACCGGGAGTGGGCAAATGTATGATTTATAAGAAATTAAGGGACTATATTACAAATAGGAATATAATTTATGAATTAGTGTTGTCTTGATTTTGTTGGTTTATGATTTTGGAAAAGAAAAAAATGTGTCTCATATTTTTTGGTTTCTGGTTTGTAAATTTAGGTTTATTTTGTAGATTTTAATTTCCTTTAATTTTGAGTATTTTTCTTTATGGCTTGTATATCTTATATTTTTATTATTTATAAATTATAACCATTATTTACCTTTTAAAAAAGAAAAAAAATCTTTGAGCTATTTATAAATTTTTAAAAAAATCTTCACTGTTTGCTTCTACTATTTATGTCGATAAAGTAAAAACAAATCTTTGGATAATTAATACAACTAATTTATCAATGGGGATGGTTATGTAAATCTAGATATAACCCTAATTTAGAAAAATTCTTGGGTTCACCCCTAGGGGTGAACCTATCTTATTCACCCCCTCTTAATTAATCAATCAAAATACAACAATATGCCATATAATACTATATTTAAAAATAAATCAAAATTAAAATCACAAAACAAAATATTAAGAAAATAAAATCTATATGCTTTTAATTAAATAAGGTTAATTTTATGTCGGTTTGGGTTTATAAATATAAATTAGGGTTTATATTTTACAATTAAACGAAATTATATGTTGGTTTGGGTTTATAAGAAAGTGATTAAGGTTTAATTTTACAATTAAACAAAATTATATGTTGGTTTGGGTTTACAAATGTGGATTAGGATTTAGCTTTTACAATTACACCAAATTATATGTCGGTTTGGGTTTATAAAATAGCGATTAGAGTTTAGATTTTACAATTAAACAAAATTATATATCGATTTGGGTTTGTAAATGAGGTTTAGGGTTTAGATTTTACAATTAAGCAAAATTATATCTCGGTTTGGGTTTATATAAGAGTGGTTAAGGTTTAGATTTTATAATTATATAAATGAAATTATATGTCGGTTTGGGTTTATAAAAGAGTGGTTAGGGTTTCGATTTTATAATTAAATGAAACTAGATCGAAACCCGCGCTACGCTGCGGGGTTTTCTCAAAAATCTTTTATTTGAAGTAGTTGTTTGACATCAAGTGATTTTTAAAAAACAACATGCAGAAGGTAAATTTAACAAATAGTTTAAGCCGCAAGTAGTTTATAAGTATTTATTGTAGTCTTGTAGAAATGTAAAAGTTCTTCCGGATTTTGTATTTTACCTTTGCTCGTATTTTAGTTGTTTTTATTTTATTATTTTATATATTCATACATTGATAAATAACTTTTATATCTTACTTTTATAGAAGAAATATATCGCATCGTCAATTTTTGTATTTTTTTGTTTTATTTAATGTTTTTAGTATATGTATAACTTCTTGCAAAATGTTAGATTTTTATATTGTGATATATGTAAATATTTTTTCAGCGACTATTATACTTCTACTTCAAGAACCTTAGATTATTTATGTTAAAATTACTTATGGTACCCAAGCATAATTTGAATAATACTAAAGAGTCTCGAGTCAAGCCTTTATTCTCTAAATTTTGCTTAAATTTGGTGCAGATTGATTTGTTGATCGTGTTGTTCATCGTATTCATACACATTCATCTCTTGTCAGGCTTTCGTGTGAATAGCATCTCCATTTTTTCTCATCTTTGACTCTGTTAGACAAAGAAATATGGGATATATGCAGATATATTGGAGAACTTCTCTCACGACCCTTTTATAAAAATCAAACGTACTCTTACAAACCCAAGTTTATAATTAAAAGCTAGACGCCACACAGGGCTTTGAATCATAAACAAAACCATTCCAAACCAAACGTGAAGTAAGAAAAGGACTTGAAAGAAAATGGAAACGCCACAAGAAACAGAACCATCAAACATGTAACAGCCGATACACATGCCGATGAGGAAAGCAAGTCAAGATGCGCTGCATCCAACACACACAAAAAAAAGAATATGACACAAAATCCAAGAATAATACTGGATAATCAACCCTTTTTGCCGCTTTTTAAAGCAATTGCTGCGAAGACCACTTGAGCTATCGTAAGCAAAAGAATAGCTAAAGCGGCTAACTTTGATAGAGCAATCCATAGTGAACCCACATAAGTTTGCTTGAATATTCCATCAGAGTATAAACCATGGCAAATGAAACTAAAACATGTGTTATATAGGACACATACATTAGACCAAATACCAGTCAGGAAACATTAGAACACATATTTTCACAAACATTAGATCAAAATTCAAAATCTCATCTCTTAATGTATAATACACTTATCAATGCAAATCTCATCTAATCTTATCTCAATTATGTGAAGTGTGATAATAACACATGTAAATTTTACCAATGCAAATCTGGAAAAAATGAGATTGCATCAGATTTAGAATGCCAAGCTACGATAACACAAATATTCCCTGAACAAAAAGGAAATAACACATTAGCAAGATAGAACAACCAATAATTTCTCAGCTTTAATCCCAATACCTCGCAAAAGTTAGTCCCCTTTAGTCTAAATAGCAAACTCATAATCAACATAAACAAAAAAAAGAAAAATAAAAATACAAAGCGAGTTATTGAAACCCAAAACAAATATGAGATGAATTCAAAACGATGGAGGTATTCAAACAGAGCTATTTAATTAATTAATCAATGTTGATAACTAACAGCAGAATCATCAATCTCACCCTTTTTCAATTTCTCGTGAACCCTCTCTAATCCTAAATAGACACGAACGGTTTAAAAATAATCTAAATCTATTTTAATGCAAGGAGAATTCGAAACATATACCTTCTTTACTTGTAATATGGTTTGGCAAGCTGACTATATACTCCCTCTGGATGGAACGAAACCATCCTCTCCACCGTAACACCTCATATCGATTAACTCCATCAAGTTTCATATTGGTGGCCAAATCATATGCAATCGTTTGAGACTATTGTTCCTCCTCTTTGATTGACATCCGATTAGGGTTCTGGTGTCGTAATTGAACTGCTCCTTCTCTCTCCTCTGGTGGTTGGGTGTGCCATGTGCGTTGCTCGACACCCTCCTCGTTGCCATCGACATCGTCTTATTTCCAGTTTAGAGCATCGACAATATTTAGACATGTTTGATTTGGGTTTTTTTACTATTTTTCTTGGGCATTTATTTTGTTTACAAACAAAAATAATTGGGTTGGGCCTGTAACAAAAAACATTATTAGTGAGAGAGAATGACATGGAAAAAAGAAGGATTATTATTGGACGAAGATGCTAAGCTGTATTAATCGAAATGTTCTTATTGGATGACTATTTTAATGATGTGTCATGCTGAGAATTGCTCAAAATGCTGAGGTGTCAGATCTGGAGAGATCCTTAGTGTTTTTATTGTATTGATTAAATATCGATTTGGGTTTATAAAAGAATGGTTAAAGTTTATATTTAATTTTACAATTAACTTAATTTAGGAGGTTTTAATGAATTTATTTATTTAGATAATATTAATTATTTTAATTTGGTTAATTAGATGACATGGTAAATTCTAATTGGTTAATTAAGAATTAATTAAGAAAGGATGAATGAAAGAAGTTCACCCCTAGGGTGAACCCAAGAATTGTTTCCTAATTTATCATCTTTCTTCTTCACTACTTGCTTCTACGATTCCCGGTGACCATGATCTCCGAAGTTGAACTACCGCAGAAAGAGAAGACAAGTTTGAGTTCTGAGCCACAGTCGTTGTTGTTACTCCCAGACGAAATCATAGAGAACATTCTTGCACGTATCTCTAAATGGACTTACCCTAATCTCTCTCTCGTCTCCAAGATATTCGTTTCTCTTATCTCTTCCCCGATACTATACAAGACGCGATCTGACATCGGAACCACCGAACCATGCCTCTATTTCTGCTTGGAATCAGTTAACCATTCATCTCCCCAATGGTTCACTCTTTGGATGAAACCTGATGAAATCCTCACGAGCAACGACGAGATTTTAAATGACTATTCGTTGGTTCCGCTACGGTCGTCTTCACCAGTACTACATCAGTCCACGGTGGTTCGGAAATCTACGTAATCGGTGGACTCTTTAAGCCGTCTTCCTCAGTTCGGATCCTTGATTGTTGGAGTAACATGTGGCGTGATGGTCCTAACATGATGGTAGCTCGATCGGAGCCAATCATTCGAGTATATTAAATAAGAATTCGAGTATTTAGTTTTAATAAGAACTAGTATATTAAATGATGAGGAAAAAATTTCTCATGCTGACATGTTTGGGATAAACCAAGCTTTGAAGTGTTAGGAAACACTCAAATAAAACATGGTTTATTGTTTTCTCATTCGATGTTACATCACATAAAATGTCTCAACTTTGGAGGACATCGTACTTTCAAAACGAAAGATTTTAAAGACGATATTTGGTCTTGATTTTACTGGTTTATAGTTTTGGAAAAATAACCAATTTCTTTACTGTTGTAGTATTGTCTTGATTTTACTGGTTTATAGTTTTGGAAAAATAAATGTGTCCCATATTTTCTTTTCAATGGTTTTTTTTTTAGATTTAGGTTTATTTTATAGATTTTAATATCCATTTGAGTTTTTAAGCCTTGTATATCTTATATAATAACTATTTTTTAACACTCTTAATTATATAATAACTATTTATAAACATTATTTTAACTTTAGAAAAAGAAAAAGATCTTTTGAGCTATTTATAATTTCTTAAACAAATCTCTTACAATAAATATAAGTTATAATTAATTTATGTCCACAATATTTCTTTAAAA